TTGAACAGAGAAAGTCCCAGAATAAAATCCCTGGGGGGTTCTTGGGTAGAGTTGTTAAGGCTAGTATGGCCAAATTTTGTGCTTTTACATCATACAGTAATATTAGGGACTGGCAATAAAAATAATATTATTTGCATAGGAAAATTAATAAATTGAGTGGATCTTGTGGCGTCAGGTGACAGAGGTCCAGGCCTGTCTGATAAGTAGGGATTCACATTATTCTTACCCACCATTGGTGCCACCACTGATTAATCATTAAGTAACAGGTGTGCAAGTCTAAAGCAGATGACTTGTTACCAATAAATGACATACAGTACCATACCCTAGTAGCTAACTCTACTACTTCTGCACAAAGAATACCTGGCTCAAGTTTACTAGTCTAATTATTACTCCCTTTGAAGGGGAAGCTGTGTTTGCATCGGACTAATTTTGAACAAGAGGATGGATAAGTTCACTTTTGCTCTGTTCGCATTTGGATCTTTTTTTACCAAAAGTGCGACTAAGCACTAATTATTAATGCGAAAGTTACGGCTGTATAACGTGCATGATGATAGTGATCATTCAAATCTAGATGAGTTCAAATTTGAACTTTCGGCCTCAAAAATTGCACAATATTTTTCAATGCACAGCTGCTGCTGCTGGGCTTCTTTGATTTGATTTGAATTTATTTGGAAGCACTGAACACTAGGAAAACATGAATAAAATAACCCAAAAGAAGCCAGTAAATATCATTCCAGCTTTTTCCATTGGGTTTCTTTTTGCGTACACTATCCACGTATATTTTTAGTGTGTCCCATTCAAACAGGGCTTCAGTATTAGCCAATCACGTCAAACCAGTTAAAATGTTTGCAAGTACACATTGTGTATGTGATCAGGCGCATGAATGTTTTTGTACATTTTACATAACTTGTATGTTCCTCTTCACCCAAATGGTGGCTACATGTATGTATGTTTTTGTTAGGATTTATATAGTTTAAACAGTTAGTGCTAATGTTCTATAGGATAGGGATGTCAGAACTTCCAACGTCCTTAACACTTAAACTGAAACCTCAAAATCATGACTTTTGACAAACTTGGGATTCAGAATCTAAGGTAAAATTGGCGCCAAGCACTAAGCTATGTCCTTCACCTCCAATATTAATGTATCCACATTCATAATTTTAAAATAATTTGTAGAAAAAAGTAAACAAATACATAAGAAAATTCAACAACTAAAATTTAGATTTAGTTAATGAAAGATAGCAGAATAAACAGCAATGTCAATGTTGTATTGTTTTACATGTTTAACTTTAAAAACAACCTTGTTACAAAGACCTGTAAGGGTGACAAAAGTGTTTCATATCTATATACTATTGTTATATTATTACTGATAGCAATAATTATTCAGTCATATATGAAAAGCAAAATGGTTTTCAAATAAAAAAGATTAATACTAGTAGATAAAATACTAAGATATTACCCATGTATTTAGATATGATAAAAAGATGCAAAGATGAATTAATATTTAAAAAAGAAGCAATCCCCGCCTGCAAATATGATAACCCGCAAACAACCTTTTTAAAAGAAGTGATTTTTGCTGGTCAGTGATGATAAAAAATGAAATAGATCATATAATTAACCGTTACCACTACATATAAAAAAGTAGAAATGCCAATTCTTTATAATACAAATAAAATGTGTACGAAATGATAGGCGTGCATTTATGGTCGGTGAAACCTTGTTAGGATACGTACGATGATGTACTAGAGGTTCAGAAAAACGACGAGGAGGAAGGCTGAGTTCGTACTTGCCTGGAGAAAAATTACACTCGGCTAATATATTTACATCATATATGGCTATATTTGCTTTTATTTTACTTGCTATTTTTCTTATTTTTCAATCCAATATAATATTCTATGTGTAGAGATATCTTACATGTTTGAATTTTAAAATTCAAAAGAAGTCTCCAATATCATAATTACGGGGTTTTGTAAAATTTAGTAAATCAATTTAATATTTGTATACATGAAATATAATGTTAAAAAGCATGTTGGGACAGACTTGATAAATTATATAATAATAACATCATGTTATTAAGGTAACAATATCAAAAAACCAAACCATGGTCATTATTATAAAAATGGGTGTGATGATAATTTTAAATAAATTATAATTTTAATTATTACCAAAATATAATTCTTAATATATTATAATATAAATTCAATAAAATATATGATATAAATATATGTATATGGTAAGGATAGAAAGAAATATGGTTTTATTAAGATTACACGCTAAGACATTTTATTTTACTCTATGATAATAAAAAATTATATGCTAGCACAAAAAAAAGTGGAAATGTATTTTTAAAGTCATAAGAATGCAATATCAATATATAATATATTTGTTATATACTGTAATTTTAGTTCAGAATACAGTTAAATAAAAAGAAAAAGTTGGGAAAACAACATAGGCTAGCACGTAAGATTTAGACTGTATATTTTAAGAATGCATTATTAATAACTTATTCAATATGAACTGTACAAGTCGGGAAAACTGGGATTAATATTTTTAGCAAAGTCCTTACCAATAGAGAGTCCCTCTTCATAAAGACTGTGCGGAAGTTTCAGCTGTCGGAAGTCATTGGTTTGCATTGGTTTTAGGTTGCCTCCACTTTTTTCAACAAAAAATTTGATGAGGTCATACATGGTGGGTAATGGAGCATGCTGTAAAAATACCAAGATTTCAGATTATATGATTATTTTAATTAATTTTTTTAATGATTAATTACTATGTATATAAAAGAGCACAGTAACCCTTGAGAACTTGCATATGCTTTGCACTCTCATGAAAGATGAATGACACCTGACTTGATTCACAGCTTAATGTGTTTTGTTACCTTATACATTAATTTTAATCATGTTTCCATTTATAAATAGCATTTCTATTTTAAATTATCTGTGGCACTAGAAATTAAATACATCAGCTATTAATATGTCAGTAATAATTACAGAGAATTTCCTTACCTCATCATCAATATGCATTTTGTATGCATCACCCTGCCTTCGGAATCGATAATGCCGTACAACAATCTTCCCTTGGGATTCTTGCCGTACGGAGAGGGAGAACTCCCCAGGGTGCGTCTCGCTCTCACGTATTAAAAGATCTCCGACATGTGTGTTCTTGTTGAGGATTTGTTCAGCATGGTCACGAGAAAGCTTATTAAAAAACCAACTTGGACCTTTCCCTGTGTATGCTTTCTGGAGATGTGGTGGGAAGAAGAAGTACTGAAAAGAGAATAGAATATAACTTAAAATATTTACTGATTTACTAAACAAAAATATCAACTTTTTAATTATAAATGTATAATAAATTCATATATTTGACTTTGACAAACTATTTATTTCTTGAATTTTTAATATTATTTATCCAGAATCTGAAATTGCATCCAAAACTAAAACTCATCTCTGGAGGAGATATTTTAACCCTGATAGCAGACTCATTCAATCTATGCAACACCGATATGTTTTTTCTTATTTTATTCAAATGTGATTATTGTAAGACTGTCCATTTGGAAGTTAATCATTTTCTGTCTACTACTAGTAAACTCATATATTTTTTTAAATTGCAAAATGAATATTCATTATCTGTTCATCATCGAAATGTTTATTCATAAGAAGACAGCAATTAAATTTACATACAGGATCGTTGCACAATAAATTTGGTCTTTCTGAGGCAGGAATCTTCGGTGCGGCCCCTTGTCTTGACGATGAAGGTGTTGAAGGGCATTGTGGTGAAAATGATCCCCTGTTTCTTCTCTGTTTTTCTGCTGCAATTATTTCATTCACATCTTGTATCTGGCCAGGTAGTAAACATATATGTTCTGGTACCTTTCCCTATAGAAACAATAAAACATATTCATCTTTCATTGCTATTGGTTAAAATGTAGCGGAAAGTCTAATTTAAATTTGCCTGCCAACTTGAGCTGTAAATGCTGCTTTAAGAAAACCTATGTTATAAATTTCAGATGAGCTTTAGGTTCAGACATACATTTGTGTATAGTAAATCCTCATCATCATCTCAATTAGTATTAATAATAACGCAAGATTATTAATGAGTCCCAATTCATAAAACAATTACTAAAAAGTCATAATACTTAATTATTTTCATCATAAGTGCTTAGAGACCTTGTTTAATGGCATGTTATGATCAATTTATTATAATATCATCACCATAATTATCACTTTCATCAGCCATCAAACTGATCACTGCTATTATGACACTACTCATCATCATCAACATTAATATCTTGGCATCTTCTTCATTAGCATACTCATTACTTATCATTGTCTTTTTATACTGTACATTATGAGCTTTGGTCATACGAGTACATTTTACACTGTATTTTTTGTCAAACATAAGCATGCAATTAAAAAGTCAATAAATAAATAAATAAATAAAGAGACCTTCTGATAAAATTGCAAATTGGATAACATGCAAGGAGAGCCGCTAGATGGAACTGACCCAAGAATCTCCATGGTTCAATGCATGCACAGAACTACTAATAGTAGATGCAAAGATGAGCTATTCATTCTACTGTAGCCGCGATTTTGATCTCATAAGGAAAAACAATGTGGGAGGGAAGAAAAGATTGGGCCAAATTTGTGATCACTGGCTTGTTATGCCATCTGAAGAAAGAATTAGTGAATGATGTTGATAGAACCTTTGGAAGATTCACCCATGTACATATTATCGATCCACCCATGCATATATTATCTACCATTGTTTAAAAATATCTTTGCATTAACTTATTGCAGGAAGGAAGTTACATGAGATTTATAGTACAGGAGCTATAAACTGCTTACAGTATAGTAATACATATTTTTTACTATGTTTAATTATCTAAAGTAATTATACTTATTATTATATTATAATAGCACTGTACTTATTATCATATCTAAAGACATTGAGATTATATTAATATTAATTAAATTTAATATATAATTTATACATGTGGTTTATACATGTAAATACAGGTCCAAAAAATGAAAATAGTCTCAGTAATGACATATATTTATCATATTCCATGTTAATAACTAAAAGTTATACATATACTTTTATATTAAATTTCATTATAACTGCAAGACTGACCATGTACAGTATTTAACAAGAGTATTGAACCCCGGAGTGATTTCACCTTAAATGGTAATCTAACAAATCACAAGGGAGACATTTTATTAGTTAAAATCCACTAATGTTATTATATTTAGAACGTAATCATGTATTGTACATCATACCTGAATGTTAGAATCCCACATGGATTGGGGAAAGTAAAAACAAGGTTTAAAATGTGCTCCTGGCCGATTGAAAACAGATCTGGGTTTTAATCAGTGAATCTATACATGCGATCATTTGCTCGCATCTGTTCTTACAATCATATTTCACATTGAAATATCCTCGCAATCTGCGACTTGGATTCACCATCAATTGCAAGAATTACAGTACTCGTAGATAGACATCTCATTATGATGAGATATTCATAATAACACACAAGAGGGAAGAAACAGTGTAGTAGGTAATAAACAACAAAATAATAAATCACTGTGCTTTGTTACCAGATGTAATGACAAAGTATTGTATTAGATGATTATTTCAACTGAAAATAAGAGATCTATTTAAATGATAATAATTTACAAACCTATGCATGATACATGACTTAACCAACCATATTTTCTGATTAAGTCATCAATAATGACATAATCAGAAAATATGGTTGAGTAAAATTTGTGTGGTGGTTGAAAAATTCGTGGGGGGAGGGGGAGGAGGGCTTTATGGCCCAAAATAATGATTTTAGACCACATTGGTAATGTAATTTTATAGGCAAATTACAGTAATATTTTTAGCAAATTTCCTTGAAAAAATTTCATAGGCCTAGGTATGCATTACATGCATAGGAACTAAAAATTATCATCACCACCACTCAACTGCTACCACTATAACATGACCACCATTGACACCACCACAAGTATATCTTATCACCACCACTGTTTCATCATTATGCATCACTATCATCCCCACCAGTTACCACACCACCATGAACCACCACTATCTGCGCTACCAAGACCATCATCACCTTCACCATCATCATCACTACCATTAAAATTACCATAGCACTTTGTGATAGACTTGTAACCATAAATCATAAATAAACTAAATAATCAGTTATAATTATTTTTACAGTCCCATTAAAATAATGTTTTTTAAGTTGCAGATTATTGAAGTATTACATATGTTTAACAAATGAGTAGTAATAACATTTTTCATTTTTTGGTATATAAATATTAAAAATGACAGTTTAAAAGTGTTGCATGAAGTACAGTAGGCATAACTTGAGGTTGATCGATAGTCCACGACTCTTCCAGATCATTGACGTACTGTGCTGTTGTCCTTGCTATAGCTAATCTTATTTTTATCTCAGTTGTGCAATCTCCTTTATTGTCTATGAATGAACCCAGATATTCAAACTTTTCAACCTTCTCAATCTTTTGACCATCTACCAAGATCACCACCAATTCCATTTCTGTCAATGACCATTACTTTAGTCTGCTTTGCATTTAGCATAAGGCCTTTCGCCTCGCTTGCTTCTTTTATGGGCTTCAAAAATTCCAACATTTGCTCTCTGCTACTGCATATTAAGGTGGTATGTAGGTAACATGTTTAATATTCTACGACGCGACTGCCCCCGACGCACACCATCGTGTCTGCGTTTAACTCACACAGACCTGACGCGACAACAAATTGCATCGGGCTGCGTCGTACGACGCTGTCTGAGTTGGCCTTTAGAATATTGTCATTTGCGTCATTTATTACATCTATTCTTGAAATTGTTTTCTTTGTCAACTCTCTTACTATGCTAAATGGAGCTTTTAAATTGCCTTTAGATCTTTCAATTTCCTGGCACTTTCTTTCGATGAAGCTCTTCTTATCATCCTTCACACTTTTAACAACCTCCTTGTTTAGCTGTTATTTAACTGTTATTCTTAGAAGCATAATGTTCTTATAAGTGCTACTGAGGGTTGATCCTTTAATATATTAGTTTTAGAGGCCCCTCATTGTTGATGACATGGATTGTTAGACACAAATGTGAATTAAATATTGGATAAAATATTATTTTAAAATACTGCATAAATTACCATAGTGACAGCAAAAATCTTCACAATCCATGTATCTCTATCCTCCGACGATGTTGCCTGAAATGATTAAAAATCCACATGTTGAAAATTAATATGGGAAAAATTAAAATTTAACTACACAAGTGAGACAGGCTTACATTGAATATAAATTTAAGCATTCAATATACGCATATCATATTCTTAGAAACATAAGTAATCAATGAACTGTATAAAACGATACAATGAATTGTTATTGCAGTCTGTTTTTATAATCAGAAATTGATTGAAGGATGATATACATAGGTGCTTATGAAAATTAAAATTTACTAAAATCAAATAAATTTCTGATTAAATCATGTGGAAAGCAAATCGTCTCAAGGCTCATCTCTTTAGTTTATTTTAATTTGCAAATTTCTAGCGCATAGAGACCTATGTATTTTGCGCTTTACAAATCCAAATTATTATTATTATTATTACTTAAAAAACCGACTGTTGAGTTTTGTTTAAAATTAGTCAAAGAGATAGTTTAGCTGGACATGTGGACTAGCAAAGAAGAACATCCTATAGAAGGAGACAAATACAAAGGAAACATATATATGATTTGGTGAATGTAGGAAAAAATTTCCCCGGTAATAATGGCCCCAATGAAAAAATTCAGTAATAGAAATTACTTTTTTTAAATCATCAAATATTTAAATACTGTAAAATAGCTAGAATTGAATCAACAAATAAAAAATGGCCCCCAACTATAAAATTCAATAAAAAAATAAAATTGAATTAATACATCACCATATGCATATTTGAAAAACTAAAATAACTTTTTAGCTCCTATGAGGAGCTCTAGGAGTACCCTGCTGATTGATTAATTATTAGATCTTTTTTGTATGGGCTTCTGTTAGAGCTAAGTATTTTTTATTATTATTATTAAATATTATAGCAACCAATTATTTATATAATTATTATTGGCTCTGATGGGAAGCTTTAAAACATTGATTCAGTGCAAGTTTTGAACGACGAACGTGCAGGAAATGTTATATAACATTTTCAAGAAATTTGAAATGAAAATTTCCGATAACCTGGCAACTACCACTGGGGACTTTCAGAACTCTCTTTTTCTTTTAAAAAAAAAGTAATAATAATTTGATGTTCATTCAAATCAACCCATTTTTGCTGGGTTTAGCAATACCCGGATTGAATTTCTGGAAAATCATAATTCCGCTTCCGTGAAATTGGCCACAAATAAATTATTTTAGTATTAATAAATGCATGATTTATGTTGATTTATTGATTAAATTGTTGCTATTTTTTAATTTTTAAATAGAAAAATAAATAAAAAGTGTTATTCATGGCTTATTTTTTGATCTTTGAATATGTAATTCATACAAAAAGTAAAATTTAAATGGCAATTTATTTGATGTTAGATTCTTTTATTTTTTAAACTAAATTATTTCAGTGATTTGAACGACATAGTGTATCTGGGTAATTTATGGGCAATAAACACAATCTGAAATTTTGTGGGTAGAAACACTAGGGTCCGAGACAGTGATAGAGATTTAGATTTAGAAATATCGGGTCTAACTGAAAATTTACCCATGTATATAATTTTCCATTAGCATGGTTTTGTTATCATTAACAATTTTAGTAATTGTTAATGTGTTAACAGCTAAAAAATGTTTTTTAATTTGTAATCCATTTCTAATTGGCCCATCAATTTTTAATTGCTACATTTGTATTAATTTCTACTAGTATATTAATTCATTTTTTAAATCAGGATTTCTAGATTTAGAAATATCGGGTCTAACTGAAAATTTACCCATGTATATAATTTTCCATTAGCATGGTTTTGTTATCATTAACAATTTTAGTAATTTATAATTTGGAAACAAATTAGTATGTGTTAACAGCTAAAAAATGTTTTTTTAATTTGTAATCCATTTCTAATTGGCCCATCAATTTTTAATTGCTACATTTTTATTAATTTCTACTAGTATATTAATTCATTTTTTAAATCAGGATTTTTATTATTTTAATCCTGTATATGATCTTGTAACAAGGGGCAAAGGTCATCAAATGATTGATTTTAGCCTTGATCTGACACTTCCAATTATGACGCTGCACTATAAGCGGTAATAACTAATTTCTTATTGAATTCTGTCAATATCTCTACCTCTATATTACTACAGACACAATACAGTACTCGTAAATATTTTGTTTCCAGTCAATACACGTTGCTATGTTTCTTCGATGATCAGACCCCTGGAATAATCTATTTCAATTATTGACATATCTCCAAAAATAATATTAATTACAAAAGTCTATTGTTTTCAAAATGATATAATATCATGTCAGATAAGTAGGGTATGTTAAGTATGTTCTTATTTTATATAGTTACAGTTAAAATAAGAGAATGAATGAGCATTCATTGTTATGGTACTGGATACAGTATTGGATGTCAATAATTTTTATTAATTATTAGTTGAAATTGGAATGCATACTCTACTGTATGGATCGTATCTATACTTGGAACGTTGAGCCAGAATTTTAATTTGTGCAGAAATATTTAGTTGATTCAAGAAATTATAATAATCTTCATGATACTTTTAGTTTGTTTTTAAGGAACAATCTTTGTTTTCACTGGGTATTTCCTGTGTGTCAAATGTAATTTGTTTTCCTGATGTGTCTTGGTTTATGACTTATAAATTGGGCTTAATTGATTTGTGATTGGTTGTAATCAGGAAGGTATTCTAAATGCTAACAAACTCAAATTAGTCATTAATGGCTATGGTCACACTAGAGTTTCAAGCCTGGCTTGACTCACCGCGGGTGGGATTTTCGTAATGTGACCGCATCTCTGCACCGACTCGCGCCTGACGTGACCTCGATCTCGATCTCAATCTACCTATTTCGATCCCGGCTCAGCACCCATATTGACCCTGGATTGACCCTGGATTGACCCTGACGTGACCGAGATTGACATTTCCCCGTCGGCTGTCGACCAATCAGTCGATGACGCCGTTGCGTTTAGAAGTTCTTGAATAAAAAACCCGCGAGTTCTTCATGTGTGTTCAATCAAGACGCAATCATTACTTTCATAAAAGTTAATTCAAATTTTAATTAATAATAATGCGATTGATTTGGAGCGACCAGGAAACTGCTGACCTGGTAGATTTGTGGGGCCAACCCGAGCTGACAGACCGGACAGAAAATAAAAAAACAAACAACAAAACGGGAATTTTTGGTGTGCTTGCTGACAGATAGCCAGTCTCGGACATGAGAAGAGAACGACGGCCCAAATTCAAACAAAGGTGAATGCATTGCGAGCCCAATACAAGCTGATAAAAGATCAGTTGAAGAAGAGTGTTTCGTGCACGTCTGGTGTAAAATCTTTGATTGCGATCCACCCAATCACACGCGCGTATATCGAATCCCCTGAACTTTACGGCTCTGCTGTTTCGACTTTCATAATTTAGAGGTCAATCCAAATAGTGTGACCGACCCAGAATTTCGAGCCTGGCTTGAAATCTCACTCGCGGTGAGTCAAGCCAGGCTTGAGACACTAGTGTGACCGTAGCCAATATGTTTTTTCTAATTTCAAACTTGACTCTAACAGATGAAATTTATTTCAGTGGCTTTTGCCAGCAGTCATGCGAGCTTCAATAGGTGAGTAGTATATGATATATTATAATGTATAAATTATAATGTCATATCACCATTTAATCACTATTAACAGTTTCATCTTTATTATCACCATCACCAAAAACATCACCAAATTATCATAATTTATTGTCATTATTATAATTACCCTGATTACTAATTAATTAATTAATTAATGAGCACACCATATTGACTCATCTGGGACTAAACAAGATGTATATTTTAGTGTATTTTTTCTCTTTTTATAGGAATTGTATATTTCAATATATATCCATACATAAATTTATCCTGAATCTAGAATTTTGAAATAACAATATTAAAGCAGCCAATGTATACACTGCTTTACACTGTTAAGGTATAACTGTGACTACCTTCTGCCATTACACTGCTAAGAAAGTTAGTTTTTGTTAAAAGTTGTAATTTTATCATATCAAATTGCCACAGATTTCTTTGTGTTTAACCTTCTTGCAACCTTCAATTTTGTAAGTCAGTTGAGAATTTAAGCATGTTACAGGAACAACAAACAATGTCCCCCTTTAAGGTTTGTTCAAGTTAATTGGTAACATCCATCAAAGAGAAGGGTTAACAAATATAAATCACAATTTTGAATTGAGTCACACTTGAACGATTCCCACGATAACAATGAACACTTGAGAACCTACCAGATATGAGTGTAAGCACATCTATGGGATGCTCGATAATATCGGGAAGGAAATGTCATCAGGTCTTAAGTACCCAACTTGAGAATGACCTTCATTTATTTTTTAGGGTGGCTTACAATGTGCGATAGTGTGGAACAATACTGTAAATGTGTGATAAAGTAGACTGACAATGTGTGACTTATTATGTGGGGCAAGGGGTGGTGTGATCACGTGTAGAGTAATTGACTGAAAGGAATGAATTAGAAAATGAAAGAATATATAATATTGTATAATATATAACCATAGAAGTGTTGCAGACTATAGACAACACTTATTTTTGTAACATACCTCTAATAGATGTGAGGTTTGGGTTACAAATAAAACATATTGGGAGGAGAAAAATAATGAAATATATTGAAATATATATATATATACAATAGCAAATTAAAAATAGTGTTGTTTGTAATCTGGTTTTTCAAGAGAGCATAAAAAATGCTAACGGCTGAGTTTTACAGTACCGATATATATAAATAATAATAAACTTAAAAAGCCTTAAAATGACAACCACCATTAAAACATATTAAAGTTTTGTTTTTTTTTTAGTTGTAACATGTAACAATTGATTAGACAAGACTATTTATATACCTTGTTTAGCAAACCCACTGCTTGCCAATAATGATGACTTCAAATAAAAATTAAATTTTATTTTTGGCCAATTAGCACACCCACTGCCACAAAAAAATGGAATTATTTCAGAAAAAGAATAAAAGTTTTTATTTATTTTTATTAAGCCTGTCACTACCTTGTAATCTCAAAAAATAAGATATGCATATTTCTTCCTTTATTTAAAGGATTTAACCATCCCATTACTGTACTACACTGTTTACATTCAACAATAACATTTTATTTTTATTTTCTCCTCCATCTGGATGTTTTTGGCAATATAATTTTGCTAAATAAGAAAACAAAATTTTATTTCTATTTTTTCTGCCCTCCTCCATTTCTACTGATTGACTGATGTTCTAATGAAAACAAAACGCTGAATAAATCAAATACTATGTCTTCCGAGGTGTGTCTCATAATAGTATTACTGAACGATATTTACGTACTATTGTAAGCTGTTTAGATTCTAAGTAGCATTTTAATATTTATTTAACACTGAATGGCTAGGTTAAGAAATTTTCAATTTGGATTTATCTTCTTTTACCATAGTAATCTGTTTGTCATAAATAAAGCTCTTATAATAATCTTGTATTTAAATACCAAATTATTGCTTGAGATTGCACAAGTTTGAAAATCTTACAGCCATACTGCAGTTATACACAGTATATTATCGAAAAAATAATATTAGGCAGTTCACTACTATTAATAGTCTCTTCGGAAATTCAAAAGGATGTATAAATTGCTCATGGTTATTTCAGTATTCTTTTATTTTAAGTCATCTAAATGCCAATTTGTACTCAAAGTGGTAATAGAAGTTGGTAATTGTAAATAGAACACCGGTAGTACAGTACGTGTTACCCATAGAATTAGTATTACGATTGGTTTGATTTTTTCCAAAAATTATAAGCAATGTAAGAAATTATTCTGACCAATCAGAACATACAGTAGTAATTTGTATTGGCGTCATAATCGCTATGCAAAAACATAGCAAGTGTGAATGGTTGTGACTGCTAAAACAGTATGCCTAGGTCAATGTATTTGCCCACACTACTACTACTACCAAAACAGAAAAGCTTTTGTATGTCCTGCACAGTTGGTAAACATTTAGTGAAAATATAAAGTATAACTTAAATTTGGAAAATCATTTTGTTAGAGCAAGATATTTCCTAAATTTTAACATTAAAATTTCCTAAGGAGTGGATAATTCTTATCTCTCACTATTGATTATTGCTACTATATTTTTTTAAATCTTTCTATATAATAGAAGTAATATCATATTTTCTTTCAAGTTTTTGAACCAAATCATACATTGGATTCAGATAGGCCTACTTTTATGAAGCTATGTAACCTTGGCCATGAATGCCTGACACTATATTGACACAGATTAACACATGACATATAGATAGTAGAATCAATTCAAAAAACATACGAGAACAAGCAACAGTGTATTCAAATCAATGATTACACATTCCTATTTTAGATCTTTTAAAGCTCCTCTATTATTCACTTTGTATGTGCATAATAAATGTTACTAGTAGTTCATGATCGTTAAAGGTTATAGTGGTTTTCCTCAAGCTAGTACACAGCTGATGAATAAAAAGTAATATTTAAAAGACAGCGGTATTTGCTAAACCACACTCTCATAATAACAACAATGAAACGTGATCTAAAAAATGACTGTGAAGTAGTTAATGCCAACCTACACTATTGTCATTATTGTTACAACTGATATGATTGAAAATTGAACTTGAAAGGCTTCTAAAGTAGTTTGTAGCCAACCTTACACCATGTGATATGAATAAGACTGATTTATTCAAATTATTGTACAGTACGGTTACTGTAGCTATTCAATTACCATACTCCATGAGGACACAGAATGGAGGTATCCATTAGAGAACACATAGCTGACTATTCACAATTTTCTTCTGCTACAGAGGTTATTTATTATATTCAGTAGCATACAGTACCTTGTTAAAGCTAGTCAAAAACATTGTTTCACAATAATGGAAGATGATATATGAAATAGAAATATATGCCATTTAAAAATGCAAAAAGTAAACATAATTATTTAAAGAAAACAAAATATTAATAATTTTTGTAAATTTAAAATGGAATTTTATTGCATTTTTATTATATTATACTCATATTTGGGGGGGGGGTTTGTTCTTACAATAAACTAATAATTTAACAAAATATTTTTATAAAAAAATATAAATAAATAAAATAAAATAATAAATAAATAAATACTCTGGAGCATTTTATAAATTAAAATTGTACAGTAATTTTACAAGCAATTATGTGTTTTCAATGTTTTTAAATTATATATTTCCCTCAGCCTGTCTTTCCTTTTGTTTATATGTTGTATTGACGATTCATAGCATAAAAAAAGCAAATTTCTGATATATTTGTGATGTTTGACAAATAAATGTTGTTAAAACAGTGCATTAATTAATTCAACATACAGATGGAGGTGATGAGGAAAGATATATAGCCTACAAAGAAGGTAAAAAGAAATGGAAACAAGTGTAAGGATGCCTGTTTTCATGGGGCTATAAACCATACAATAATAATTATATATTTTTATCACATTACATTGAATAATAGTGGAACTTTCAGTTTTGTTTAAATGCATATGGGAGTGATAATTCATAATATATCTGCCTCAAATCACATTTTTGTCATCAACATCTATCTTAATACTAAAATACCATTAATCTTCATATAATCTAAGGAATAAAAATCACATTACACTCCAACCGGTTCTTCTCAGAAACAAATACCATCAATTGAGATTTGTAGCATGCCACATGGTGTACTGAAAGCTTTAAATAATTAATGGTTATTAAAATTACTTTACTTACTCGGAATTTGTATTTCGTATTTTTGTTACATTTGACGAAAAACTTGAAGCAGCTTCTGTCTTTTTCAATCTGCGGCTGATAATCAAAATCTAAATCAGCTGTATCAACAGGCTGGAAAAATAAGATATCAAAATATAGGTTTATTGTCAATGGAACAGTATAATTTGAAACAATATTTAAAAATTCAATTTTAATTCACTACTGATCAACCTAGTTATTAGAGGTGTCACAGGGTGCATACAGTACATATCCCTCCTCCCACCCAAAAAAAAAAGTCCACATTTTTAAGACAGGACGACACACTGAATGAAAAAATTATTTTCTGTAATAGATTAAAAGCGAATTTTTAATTTTTGCTTTCTAACTAGCTATCTGTCGTTAGGCAAGTGTTTGGGCATAAAGATGAATACAGTAAAGCGTCCATTTTTCGTACCCCTTGGTACCAAGGGGTGTTCCTAAATTGAAAAATTTTAAACTAGATCGGGTGTCAGTTTCCATTACCTAAGCCTAGCTATCCCCTGCCATTGAGCGCACACTCTGACGGCAGCCTGGCCTAGCACGAACCGACAGTGCTAGAGCCTAGTTGAATTTACCTTCGATAAAAACCAAATTATTTTAATAGTTGGCATTCTTCCACTTAACAAAGTATTATTTTAACGCTTATTCAAACATCTGTATGTTTTATGGACCTTTCTATCGTGCTCTTTCTAGTTGTTAGATCGCTGAATTGTGTTGTTTACATGCAATCCACAAGACACTTGTGTTGGTAGTTCTTTTTTCTGGTTAGGTTTAATACATTAATAGTGATTATTATACCAGAAATGGAAAAGATCGAACTATTAATAAATAAATACAACAAACTTGATTTTATTAAGAAAAATATACATATCACTTAGTAAAACGTGTGCAATCAGACTTTTTTACGATAATAAAATAGTGGCAAAGACCATTCGTAAAATCAACTATTCGTAAAAGCGACGTCCGTAAAATGGTTGAAGTTGCAATCCAACTGGCTCTTCCTACTGACCCCAACTGGTCTATCTTAGCACATCACCATACATAGGCCCTTTCCCACATCCAAATAAGGCCCTAGTTATTAATTTCTAAATAAATACAGGCCAAAATAATGCAGTTTTCACTGATTTAACAAAAAAAATCCTTATATTCATTGCCAGCTAATTTAAAGGGTCTATGCAAAAAATATGAGAACTGTATGCATTTGTTATTGACATATTCAAAGGTTCCTTAAGTGAAGAATTATACTTCAACTATCGTATTTATAAGCCATATAATTCATGCACTTTAGTACCAAAGAACCACTTTGTCAACCATCAAATATGCAAGCTGGGGTATCTATCATGGCTGTCTGATAATAGTCAGCACTGGGGCTATGTTCACACATACGGCGTAAGACTGGCGTAGCTTACGCCAGGCGTAAGCTACTTCACGGATTAAAATTCCAAAGTGTTCACACTAACGGCGTTCGCTATATTAACGCTGGCATTAAACTAGTAGTAATATAGACCTATGGGTGTAGTAATATAGACCTATGGGTGAATAGTTTTAAATTTTAAATAATGTACGGGTTCTTAACTGTAGTAAAATTAACAGTGTATCAGTAAAACTGTTAAATCTGTTAATTGTTCGAAGTGAACTTATATGATTATTGTATTTTAAATGAACAATTTTACTTTGATTTTTCAGCTAGCATTGTTGGTGTTGCAGGTTTTAATAGACAGTCTAAATAGGTTAAAATATCTTACAAAACACAATCAATGAATCATATACATTATAACTAAGTAAGATATGCAATAGTAAAGGAACCCCTTTACCATTTCATTTATAGAGAGCACAGGAAAGAGACCAAAGTAGCTAATATATTGCAATCGTGATTGGTCAATCTCTTGAAATGAGGTCAAATCATTCAAGCATCACTGGCGTTAGCTCAGTGGCGTTAGCTAATCTGGGGTCTGCACGTAGTGGTTTTAACAACGCCACTGCCTAGTTCACACACAAAGGCGTACACTACGCCATGCTTAAGCCAGCCTTACGCCGTGTGTGTGAACATAGCCTAGGTTCAAACTCTTAACTACAAGGATAAGTACGGTAAGTTTGAGAAGCAGAATAGAAACTGCAGTGCTAAACCACTTTCCCTTGTCGCCTTAATACCGTATATGATAATTATAATAAAGTTAGCTTATCTTATCTTATTTATTAAACCGCAGTGGCAAAATGAGGGGTTCTATTATCAATGAAAATCTAAAAAAAAAGGTCCTCCCCAAAGTGTCATACACTTTGTCAAGGAACACTCAGAGGAGGCAATTTCAAAATGACTTTGATTGATAGATTTATATATACATATTTGATGATGAAGATCGGATCAAGTTGGTCTGTTCATACATAATGATGCAATCTTTGGGGATATTACATAGTCACCGCTTAATCCATCTAATAGTAAATAAAACATTTAATTTTGGGATTCAGCTGTCTGTCGACAGAAATCTTCAACCCCTGTGGCCCAAACAAGAACAGCTGTGCACAAATCAAGATTTCATATTATTGAGGACATTTATGAGATCATTTGTTTGACTTTGGGTACCCCTTCCCCTAGTACTCCAACCCAACGCCCACACCACAACAGTTGGCTAGAAATCAAGATTTAGATAATTGACAACATTTACTTTGAGCCCTTTCCAACTGCTCGAGACTGCATGTGTCCTAAATTTGCTTTGTGGTATGGTAAAATAAGATACCGTATACGTAATGGCATTAAAAATACAAAATGGAATTGAAAAATGAAAAAATCTGATTAATATTTTTATCTTCGCCAATTCGATGGTTGGCATTGGACATAAGGTACTGTAACAGAACTCTATCACAGTACACGTAATAGTATTAGCGACTCTTGTCCCAAAACATATTTATTTAAACTTGAAACAGAATTGCAAGTTGAGTCAACTCATCAATTCAACTTGAAACTACAGCCCTAATATGAGTGCTGGTTTGAGCAGCAGGCTCGTCTATGGTTCTCGTACAGACAGCTACTAGTCCACATATCAAGCACCATGATCATCTTTTTTGATGGATTCCGGCACTACACGTGATGCGGGTATCTGTTTTTTCAGGGTATAATTAATTCAGATCTTTCCAAGAAACATTAAAAAACATTAGTTTGATCGGCCACCTATTTACAAGTTCCCTAGAGTTCCTTGGGGGTCCAATTCATCATCTTTCCCATTTTCAAATATTTTAATATTCATGTTTTATATTTTTATGTAATCCTTGCATTTGTTATTTGTTTATTTTGTACATTTGTAAGGTATCAAAATCGATTGGCGGAATTAATAGACTTCAACATTTCTTTAATTTAAAGAAAACTAATGATTCATACGTTCCGTTTGTCATATTGAGAAGTAGTCAATTTTTTATTACAGTGTTTGGACCTACCTTATGGAATGACATGAATGATGAAATTACTCAATGTAAAAACTTAATTACTTTTAGAAAACACATAAAAAAATATTATTTGGATAGCTATATAGGTTAATTTATCATGTGTATATGTATGTGTATGTATGCGTGTATATGTGTATTTATGTGTGTATATATATATATATAAATATATGTGTGTGTATGTATGTATGTGTGTATATGTATATGTGCATGTACATGTGCATGTATGCATGTTTATATATAAAAGTATTCTTTTTGTGTATGTGTGTGGGTGAGTGTGTGTATGTGTGAGGGTGTGTATGTATGTATATGTACTTTATTACTTTATTTTGTACTTTTTTTTGTAAAGGTCAATTGAGACAAGCGAAACTGCTTCTATAACTTGATCAATGGAATTTTGTTATTGAAACTTAATGATTTATGTTTCATCCATTGATTGAATAAATGTATATGGAATTGAATTGTTTATATGGAATTTATTGATGAATAAAAGATTTTGATAGACTGATTTATTGAACGATCGATTAAAAATCTACCTGTTATTCAGTGATGCCAACAAGTTGATAAAGAAATTCCTTTATAGGAGCCCCAGACAAGAAGCAACGATGGATTAATTGAATCATTTAAATACATGAGTGAAGATATAGAATTTCATTTTGTACTGTCTCTTATTTTAATATAAATTTGAATGTTTCATGCTTAAAGAAGCTTCTTGGCTAAAGGGCTTTGCAGTGGCAGCGCTACAGCAAAACACCATCCTTATGTCGAGATGCCCTGTATGAGCGTCTAGCAGCTTATTTAAAAACATTTTCTCATTGGGGAGGGGGAACACCACCCTCCCAAACCTTTCCCTGGGCTCGGCCCTACAACCCTCAGATGACACTACCCGCTAAAATACAACCCTTGCCCTGCCTGTCAGGGGCGCTGCTCTGCTGTCGGGTCCTAGCTCTGCCACTGGGGCTTTGTGTCCCTTTTTCCATTAAGTATCCTATCAAATACACTCAATCAAGTATTTTGAGAGAAATACAGTAGAATTAGTATGCTTGAAAGATATTTGTTATAGGCAATGGTACCTACACATTCTTGAATTGTGGTTAGCTCAGGAATGTGTACCACAGAGAGATATGGAAACTCAATATAAAGACCTTTTTCTAAGGGTACTCTGCGTATTTTGAGCTGCTTTTACAAACCTGTGGTTTCATGGACTTATTTGCTTATTGAAGGCTATGAAGTATAGCAGCAAACAGTACCACCCTGTTTCATATAAAAAAAAACGTTGTTGAATAATCCCATGATATACAGTATAAGTATTGGGGCTACCTGTACCACTTTCAGTAAAGGTAGTAAAACTTAATCTCTTAAAGTTTCTTTTTAGTATTTCAAAGCATTTGTATCTTAATTCAACTATTTATGTATTATCCATGTCAATCAATGCCTATTTAAACTTGTTCTTGAGTATACCTCTTTCTGTGGTGTAGCTTTATTTCAAGGTTAATTCAGTGACATAATTTTGTATAAATCCAGAATTCGACCCAGCAGCCAAGTTACAATCTCTGAGCTCAAAGCAGGTTGCCTGGGTCCAAATCCTCGTTGGGGAACAGTTTTTACTTATTTACTCAACTTTCTTTACACTGGATGGCACGCTCAATGCAAATGCACTGGTTTTCATTGTGGTCCAGTTATAACATAAAAAATATGAAAGTGATAAAATGAAAAGGAAAAAATAAGGAAATTTTAACAAAAAGGACTTAATTACAAAATAGAGAGATTAATTATTTTAGAGCATTTTTAGAGGTATTTTGATTTAAATTCTGGAAATCCCTAGTTATGTTACTAGGTAGTTCATTCCAGTTCATGGATGCTCGATAGTGAAAGGTCCGTTTTCCTCGACAAATGTTGCACTGTGGTACTAAAAGATGATTATTTGTCTGACTTCGAATATTTTTACTCTCTCAGTAATGTGAAGTATTGCAGGCTAAACATTTTATGCGATTCGTGGTACACAATTTTTACGATTTTGTGCCCTAGAAAATCGTTAATTTAAAATACAAAAAAAATTTGATCAGAAATGAATTTAAAATCCCTGCTATAAAAATTTATAATCTATAATTTAAAATATTAAGATAACAAATTGAGTAGCTGGGATGCAAATCCGACTCTGGAAACTAAGGGTACCTCCATTTTGTTGGACTCAAACACTAGTGTGTACTCATTTTTGGAAACATTGGTGATCATAATCAGGAAGATCGTATTTATACAGAGCAATTCCAAGACCGTCTGATACACCAATAATTAATGTGTGAGATAAATATATACCATTAAAATAAATATTATTACATATTTAGTCTTCCAACTTAGTAATTTATCGATAACATTTCTGTTGGTTTCTATTACGATTCGTATGCGAGGCCTAGGCCTCACCCTATCATTCACAATTTCACTCAATATATGCGATTTTTAGGACTTTATAAATAAGAACTAGACAACATTTTTATTTTTATTAATCATTGTCTTTCTCTATGATTTATAATAAACATTTCATACACCTGCTTCTATGAACAGTTTTTTTGAGAAAACCCAATTGGTTAGCAAACTACTGTAGACATATTAGGAAATGTTGTTACCATAAAAGGAAGCCATGGGCAGCCTTATCTATTAACGAGAACTATAAATACAGCTGACGCTAAAACGTGGTTACGCTTTGAAATGATAGGTGGCGCTGCACAAAGCAAATGCAGAAGTAAGATCGAGAAATTGCGACAAATCACCTATCGGCTGTCCTACTGTGTTCTAGTCAATGAAGCTTGACTCTATTGAAATTCCCAAAAGAAACTTTTGTATGAAAGCAAATTCAATAACAGGTTCCCAAGGTTTACGTAAACAGCATTTGAATAGAAAGCAAGTCCTGAATGTAGAGGACACTCTATATTTGTCATTCAAATTTCATGAAAGCCTACTGAAAGTTACCCAGGCAAGTTCAAAACACTTCTGTCTCTGTGTATGCAATACAGTGCATTGTTACAGTTATATCATGTATACAATGTATTGTATGGGGCATCAGTCAGGAGGTTTCGATTCTAATATTGTAGCGGTTACTAACATGTTTTGAATCCCTTGTCTGTAATTGATGAAGTACTTACCATCAAATATGAGTAATACACAACCTGGTTAAACTGTTGCATAGTACATATAATATTACAGAAAATTAACATAAAATAGCTGTAGAGTATTTTGTAAGAATTCAACAAAATGGAAATGAAGGAGACAATCAATTGTAAACTATACCAAGAATGAGTCATAAAATGTTAGGCAATCTTGCAAGAATTGTCTTTTAAAATAGACTGTTGATTCTTTCATTCATTTCAGGTCCATAATGCTTCAACTATTGTTGTCCTATTCTTAAGATATATATATTTTTTATACATATTTTTGAATACATGCTCTGTGGGTTGCTCTGTTTTTCATATTTTTAGATTCTGCATGAGTTATTTAAAAAAGTGTTTATTTGATGGAAATTGGTCGAGTATTACTATTAGCTAAGTTATAAATGTTTATTTCACTGGATATCCATGTAGGTTTGAGAAAACAGCTTCCAAAGATTCCAAAATCAATATTCTATTACTAAGATTTGTATTTTTTAAAATAATTTTATTATACTTTTCAGTTAGATTCAGTTATTGGTATTTTGCAAAAATGTTCTTCAATTTTTAAAATGCAAAAAACCTGAAATATTCAAAGTTATGATACTTTTGCGACAAACAGTGTGTTTTACGAGAGCTGGTCACTTAATTTTTTTAATCTCACCCATAAGCTGAAAGTATACGAAATAAATGGAAATCTGAACCTGAATCTCATAAAATTGTCTGTACTCTAAGAAATTCTATAATTTGTACAATCAAGTAGAATGAAGAAGATCCCTAAAATCTGGCGATTACTATTATAATCATAGTAAGTTGATCCCTAAGAAGTAGCCAAAGACAACATTCTAAATGGAAACGGTAGCTCTTGTCTATAATTAAACCTTGGGAGAGTCAATCCTGCAAGATAGATAAACACGCAGCAACATACAGACATGAAGACTTGCACACGTGCCAATAGCATCATTATGTATAAGTGTATTCAGATAGAAAAGAAGCTGCATGCAGATTAGAATTTGAGCAGCAAATGGCCATTGCATGCAATTGATAATGAATAAAACCCTGTCTGATTGTTTGGTGCAGATGTAATAAAATAATGCAATAAAGAATGTTGAATAAGGAGCAAAGAGCTATCCAGAACAGAAATGGTATTGTCTATTTTTAGCCTCAGTTAGCGAGCTGTTTATCTTTATCGACAGAAACTACGCAATTTTAAGAACCAGCCTATCCTCGAGAAAAAGGCCAGGGTATGATTTAAATGAGTAGCTTAGATAATTATTACAAATTATCTAAAAAAATTCAAGGAAAAAGAGAATTTTGAATTAGGCATACGGTTATGAAAAACTACCTTTACACTGAAAATTGGATTCCCCTGTATAAGCCCACCCCCAAAAATCAGCAACATTTTGCCTATTTACAGGAGACTGTGCTTCACAGAAAAGCCTCAAAGTATTTCATAACTGTTTCTATTTTAAAAGCATATTATTATTCTAGTGAAATATTATCAAGGGATATTGTGAGTTGTTTCGTCCCTCTGTCCTCGTTCCTGGAGGAGTAGTAGTGAGATCAAAAGATTATTTCTGGCTTGTACTTACCGTGCTGTCTCTGTTGAAGTTGGTAACTTTGTTTGTGTAAAAATAAAGCGTTGACTGACGCAGTACTGTCCAGAGTTTCACAAAGTCCTGTGGATAAAATGCAAAATATATATATATATATATATATATACACTTTATTATATTTTATCATGATTTTTGCAATAGCCATCTTATATTCCATTTCTCACACATGCTTAAGAAGACCCGAGGATGGGTTGAAATATTCATGTTTTGAATAAATTTCGTTTTCTATAGTATGTCTACCAAGTTGTTGTCATCTCATCATCTTTTTCATTGAGTTATATATACTGTACATACATATATACATATATACATATATATATATATATATGTATATACATATCGTCACACAGGGTCACACCATACACATAGTAAGTAAACATGGCCTAGCGACATTGCTTTAACAGGCAAACTCCCGATCCTAACTAGTCTATACCTATCGGGCCTTGGTAGGCCCAATTTTAGCTACTTTAGCTGTTTATAATGATCGTTATGTGTAAAATTTTCACTTATATGTTTTTACTCACGTAACACATTAATGATACACAAAAAAAGTGAAATACAGGATCCTGGAAATGAAAGGTACATCTCCACAGATTTATTATTTATTTGTGGTGGCACGGATGCCATAGAAGAATAGTGTAGAACAATATACCGTTGTAAACAACCATTGAAATCCAGGGATCAAAATTCCATCAACATCCAGGTGTACAAGTAGTTTATAATTGCTGTTTAGAAACACCTTCAATAGTAAATGTGTTTACAACAGTATCATAATATTGTATGAAAGATCTATCATCAATAAACAATGCAAAAATATGTGTCTTAGGGCCTGTTTCTACTGACAAAATACAAAAGTACGGTATTCAGTGAAACTGGTTTTCATAATTGTTTACAAAGACCGCATTGCAGTTTAATTTTTTAACACGAACAGAAACCGGTTTCTCCTAAAGGAGCTTGTTGTGTAATGACGTCATTTTTACCCACAGCGAGTTTGTTAGGCGGAAGTGCGATGAAGCGTGGAAATTTCCAGGTCAACAGAAATTCATTTGGTCAAAGTAATCTTCGTCGAAAAAGGGGCAGGTGATGCAGTCGTTTCCCTACCGGTTATTATAGTCCTTCGTCTGCGTATACACACGACACAGTCTCTTCAGCTTGCTGGTGGCCTGTGCAGCGGTGATCTGCACCCCAAATTGCTTATTTACTTCGGCAACTATTTTTTTATACACCAGATTATCTTTGCGGCTGCCGGCTAGCCTCCCCCTCATCTTTTCCTCCCCCCACAGATTAATCACTAGTCTTGTGATGGCGTCGGTCCAAGTTACGCCCGACATTACTGGTACATTTGCTAAATCAAAAAATTAAAATACACACTTCGCGCCAAGATGAGAGTTGTTTACGAGAACCATTTGACAGCTTGCTAGGTGATTGTGGTCAAACTGAGACCGCTATTGCGTTGCAGCTAAAAATTGCTCGGTGAATACGGGTTTGAGTACGGTATTTGGCGATCGAGACCAGATTCAATTGGGGTTTTCAAAACCGGTATTTGAATTCAGGTTTTTTTTTTATGGGACCCATTTCCACTGACAAGAAAATACGGATCTTTGAGAATACTGGTCTTGAAACTGGAATTCTATTCTCAGCAGAAACAGGCCCTTACAGTATGCTTCTTCCTAAATGCTTCAAAGAAGCAGACTCGCATTCTTTTTTACAGACAAGGCAGCCACAAGTTTGGAGTCGACGGAAAACACATTTCTAAAATTTATTGAACCATAGGTGAACATCTCCTTGTTTAGACCAATTAAGTTACCTTATGCTATCAAAAAAAAAAAAAGATTTTTTCCTAGATTTGTATAAACACTGTTTTTTTTTACTGAAGATCTCCAGCTCTGCTGCTATACTATACTATACTGAGAATTGTGTATTGAAGTATTTGCTATTCAGCTAATGTAGTATTCTACTATTAGTCTGTATATGGATGTGTTTCCATTGTATGATGCTACAGTGCATTGTCTCTGTCTGGTTTCATCATTCATTGTCATGTAATCATAAAAGCCAATAGTTTCTGTTTCTGAACCTTACCTGGATTTTATTTGGAACTGCAATTTTAGGACAAAAGAATTTTAAATTAAAAACTTCTCCAATTCTAAATCAGAGCAATTATATACATAATAAATGGCAAATATTTTCACTCTCACAAAATTAATTAATATTTGATACAAATAAAAACAAATGATTTTGCAGCATATTAAATATGTTGTTTAGAGGCTTAGCAGGAAGAAGCTCCTGTTTGGAGCAATAAATGCTCTAAAAGCCAGCTATGTTTACATTGTACATTCTTTGGTCAAACTTTATGAGGATTCTAATTAGGTACTATATCAACATAGTCTGTGATTATTACTTCTAAGTTAATTTATGCACAGATAGTTTTTATTATGGCTATGAAAAATGTCTGATACTAGCAAGACTGAGAATGATATTCCTAATACTGTAGATACATGTTCATTCAAGATTTATTTATAGTACTTATAGAACCCTATGGAAATAATTGTTTGGTTTTTTTTTTTTTGCAATTTTAGGGCTCCTGTGTCATCTCCAATGTCTTCTTCTGTGATATGTCCTGGTTCAGTTTTGTTTATTAAAGATGGGATGAGCATATAGAATATAAGTTAAACACTCACTATACTAAGTTATATTTTAGTACAGTATTTGCAGTACACACACCATACTGTACATGTAACATTTGAGACTTAAACAGCTGGGAAGTAGCAGTATTAATATTATTTACGTTTATGTGCTTATCATTTCCTTTTATTGTGTATCTTCCTAGAATTATTCAGAATGAGACATTACCAACTCTCAATCTGACACAAAAAAAAATGAGTGCTCAAACTTCCTCCTGAGATGTGTGATAATCTCAGACTAAATACAATAGTGCAGGTTAATATGAGATTACTCTACCTGGTATTTTATAAAATTGAGTGCAGTGTATTTATTTATTTATTTTATTCTGCCTTGATATTCTGCCGTGATAACACTTTCAGTGACGCAGCACTGATCTCACAAGTGGATCACATGAACAAAAAAGTAGAACAAAAACAAACATAAAAAAAATATACAGAAACTTAACTAAAATAAAAAAGAACCAATTCAAATGAATTAAAAAAGAAGGCATGTAGCTAATATACAGTACAGTATACGCAGTGTGTGTGCTAAGTGGATATTCAAATCAGCATATCAATTAGCGTGGAACTGAAATTGAATTTATATTAATATGCATTCCTTCAGGTCTTGCAAATTATCATAACCAATATTATTGATAACAAATTGGTTTATACAGTGAGAACTGAAAATAATAGTAATACAACTGAGTATACAGTATACACTGCATATTTTTCTTTGCTTTTTTACTGTCTGTTTAACGTGAATAATAAAATTTTGTATAACATGATGCAAAAGATGATTACTATATTTGTGTCTGAAGTTCTCAATATTTGCAGCATAAAAAGAATATTGGTAGAGCTGGGAGTAACCTCCTCCGAAGTCCCTATCTAGAGCCATCACTATCATCCGCTCTATCCATGACCACTCCCTAGGAGGTAGTAAAATCAAACGGACGGATACAGTGCACACTATCTGCTACAGCCATCTGATGTTGACATAATTCTGTTTAAAGACAGAGTGGTTCCTAAGAATGCTACAAAAAACTACTGACCAAAAATCCTACAAAATTTAATGCAAGATTTCAGGCGGTCAAAATGGGAAAAATTGAGGGCGCCCAAGATTTGTATTTTGACACTAGGCGAGACAGGGTTCTCTTTCTCTCATCGATCTGATCTCAGAGAGAGAACACCCACGTCTTAAGATTTTTGTCTTAATAAACCATTAACTGGCCAGTAAAAAGAGTAACTTCTAATGCGTGTATAGGTTTACACACAATGTCCTGCAAAGGACTCTTACAATCATTTTCTTTTTAATAGCTATCAATCAGAGCATCCTATTCTTTTTCATTTGTTCTGATTTGTTTTAATTTGTTTAAATTTGATTTTCATATGTGCATGACGTGTAGTTGACAATGCGTTTCAATTAAACATTTTTAAATGCCAAATTTGAGTTTGATTTTTATTTTCTCATCTCTGCGTCACAATATAGATTATCATACTAATCTGAACCCGACTGCACGTTTTTATATAGATATAAATATTTGACAAGTGATAAACTGCCACCCAATAATGATATGATTTTGACAGTGTTATCTGACAAACTCGACTCATATAAATGACCCTCTCACGCATAGCTGGTCAGTAGGATATCAGTAGGATATAAGTAATTAAGGTAATTTCCGACCCAATTGGATTGATAAACCATAGCCTATGTTGCAAACTCCATTTTCTGTATACATTACAGTTAGTTAACATCAGTGTAAACAGTTGATAAATTGAGTCCTGACATATACCTTTGGTATTTTTCTAGTATTAAATATGATACCTGATTGTTTAATAATAAATAAAGAGTCTCATATACTTTTGTATGAAATAAAGCCCATTCAATATATATGGGCCAGGGAGAGTTTATGAAAATCTCCATTCCCAAGATTTTTCCAAAGACAATTATTATTAATATTATTATTATAATTGTTACTCCTATGAACAATCAAATCTACCACATGAATAAATATTTATTTACAGGTAAGTACAGTACAAGAGTGAAATTTCCGGCCACCATTAGCCATAAAAGTCGTAGCTCAGCCCGAACCATGACAGTGCTGAGGGTTGTCTGGACCTTCCATCTCTAAAAGTTCTAGGGCCCTCTATTTCTAATTCAGGACCTGCCACTGTACACTCTACTTCTGTAACATCTTACAAACTAATCCTAAAAAAATGAAGCTTATAGTACCCTCATTGTGTTAATTTAGCAGAATTAGCAAATTAAACATGTCTGAGATGGTTCAACTTACATTGTATTTCACATAATTTCTCCAGAATACAAAATAGACAAATAGAAATGCACAAGAATTATGAGGAAATATTCAGAACAATGACTTTACTATAAAAGTCCTTATAAAGGTTACACTTCCAAGGGTTCCCCTAACACCAAATGGTTACTATCAAATATACTGTATATTCACAGTATTTTGCTACACTTTACTGTATAAAATGCAAAAAATTATTATTAACCATTAACATTATAATTGCATATTAATATTTACTGCGAGCGGGATGGAGGAGCGAGTTGGATGGCCAAGCAGTTCAGGCAGGGTGTCGCAATGTACAGCTATATCGGCACTGGTTCGAACAGCTCGCTGTAGGCCCAATGTACATAATTTTGGCTCATGTACACTTTAAAGTACTCAGTACATCTTTTGAGACGAATGGGGGGTTACCCCAGTGTAATGGTCCATTCAGCCCCCGCTGTGGACAGACTAGAGTAGCTGGTACCAGTTTATCGGGTACAGTACAGTAGCTCAGACCTGAAGAGACCCTTCAGGGAGAACCAACTAACAGTAAGAGGCAGTCCACACCTCGAGCGCTTTGCGATCATTTTGGTGTAAAACGCTATGTATAAGCCTACAGTAGCTACACCACATTATTTGAATTTTTAAACTTGTAGTTACTTTTAGTTACTTTTGAATTTCATGATTGCAAACATTTTTTTGTTATATTTACTGTATGTACCAGGACTTCTTTGGAAAGTAATGCTAGTCACTGAATAGATACCCCTGGTTAAAAAAAGCTTAAATAAATAAAGAAATGCGAGAGATCGCAACTATGGTGGATAAGATTAATGCTATTATGGATAAAAACAAACTGATAGCTACCATTGCATACATTGTGAATATGTTCGATATTGATTAACCTCTAAGGCTACCAAGACAGTACAGTATGGTAATGGAATAACCCATTTTTACGAGTCAATATAAACCCCTGGGGGCTCAAATCAATTAATATGACTATCGAATGTAGGTAAAAATGGCCCAGGAAAAAATGACCCCAGAAAAAACAGCCCCGGTAAAAATGGCCCCAAATGACAAGTAGGTAAAAATGGCCCCAATGAAAAAATTCAATAGAAATGATTTTTTTTTTTAAATCTTCAAATATTTAAATACTGTAAAAAGCAAGTATTGAATCAATAAATAAAAAATGGCCCTCAATTATAAAAAAAAAATTTAAATGCTGTAAAATACCCTGTAGCAAAAATTGAATTAATAAATCAACATAAACCATATGCATATTTGAAAACTAAAATAACTAGTTTTTAGCTCCTATGCGTAGCTCTAGTAGTAGCTCTAGCAGTACCTTGCTGATTGAATAATTAATAGATCTTTTTTGTATGGGCGGCTATTAGGTCTTAGTATTTTTTTTAAATTATTATTATTAGATATTATTACTATATTAGCGACCAACTATTTATTATTCCTTGGCTCTGATGGGAAGCTGTAAATCATTGATTTGGCACCAGTTTTGAATGACGGACTTGCAGGAAATGTTATAGGCTATTTTCACGGAAATTTGAAATAAAAATTTCCGATAACCTGGCAACTACCACTATGGGACTTTCAAAAGTGTTATTCATGGCTTTTTTTTTATCTTTGAATATTTGATCACTAAATATGTAATTTCTGCAAAAAGTAAAATGTAAATGGCAATTTATTTATTTATTTGATTCCAAGGTTTTAAAAACTAAATTATTTCAGTTTAAAAAAAAAATGCATATAATGATTTAAAAAAATAAGTTTTAATACTCAATTTTATTATTGGGACCATTTTTACCTACCTGTCATTTGGGGCAATTTTTACCGGGGCCATTTTTACCGGGGCCATTCTTACCATACACCGACTCTATCCTTATATATGAAGAAACAAAAGGATTGTGAATTGGTATTTTACTACTATAGTATTATAGTAATCAATAGTCAATGAATCACAGATGGTAAGATTATTAATTTTTTTTTCACTCCCACAGATTTTACTACAATAGTTTAATAATTTATTAATATTATTAATAATGATTAATGCAAAAATAGTTAGACAGGTTATTTATGGCTATAATATGTCTATAGCCTGAAGGTGGCACTTTTCTATGGCGGCCATCTTGGATGGTACACATACACAACTCTGCACTGCTTCGTCACCTAGTCAGCACTCTATAGCTTTATGATTCAAACGCTGTTTCCACCATTACTTTCTTTATATTAAACAATTGTAAAACAAAAGCAGTTCTACTGATGATAGAGTGTCTTTCTATACCTATATCATATAGTGTAATATCCAGAAAGGTGAATAGAAAGCCACTTCAGTAGCTGACATATTGTACGTTAGATTATTAACAGTACAATATAAATAAGTACACAAAAATCAAACTGGGTATCTACTATTATACACATATTAGATCTTTTTTTTTTTTTTTTTTTTTAATTTAAACTTCATTTATAGAGGGTATCCCTTCTGGCTGAATCCAAAGGCTAGTTGATGTTCAGGGGCTCTCTTTAAAATTTCAATAAATTAATGTTTACATTTACAGTTGTACTTATAACTACTTTTATTGTATTTGGGAACAGTGTACTGTAACAATTCAGACAGGATATCTGCAATACAATAGATAAATGATAAGCTCAACAGTCACACTTTAGCAAAATATCTTATCATTTATTGTATACACACACAGTATATTTACCTAATTTTACTTTGTGTTGCAATACAGACAGGATAGAGTACAGATATACATGAATGGAATTTATAAAACTGGTTCTAGAGATGTTCATTAAAGAGATATCAGTCAAAAAATGATCAAAGGTATATGCCAAATTTTTAAATTTTACTGTCTCTTTTGTTTTCATTATTTACAAAACATCCTGGTATTACAGCATGTCCAGGAGATCACTCATCCACAGGATGTCATTCTTGACATCTCATCAAGTAAGGAGAATCAACCTGCCACAAAGCTATATTTTTCGCAATCAGTGAAAATGTTTTTCAAATATATTTTCATACTATTTTTGTAGACTAGTACAGGCCCATAACCAGGTAGATGGGAAGGTGCGGGGGAGGGAGGAGGTTTCCTATAGGCCAAGTTTAGGCGAAACTTTTTTTTATACCTTGTTTAGCACACCCACCGCCACGAAAAAGTGGAAAATTCAGAAAAAAATAAAAGTTTTTCTTTATTTTTATTATGCCCTCTGCTACCTTGAAATCTCCAAATATAAGACATCTATATTTCTTCCTAATTTTATATAAATTTGAAGCATTTAACCATCCAAATTTTATTTTTATTTCCTCCTACGTCTGGATTTTCTTGGAAAAACTATTATATTTTTATTATAATTATATTTTTAAGCTAACCCGGGTTGTCATTTTAACCTGGAACAACACACGAGTGGACCGCTTTGACAAGAGAACTCAGCATGTTCTTCAATGTGTTTACCTTATCCTTTGGTCCTCTCTTCTCTAAAAAACCTTCGTGATAACGGTAAGCCGCAGACATGTAACTACTTCCCTCGACGGCCATTCCAAAACGTGATTCTGGTTTATACAGTGATGAAGAATGATTCTCAATGTTCAAGCAATATATGAAAATCTTGAGTAATTGCAATCCAACAGTCCTCCCTGCGTTACCTTCTTAAACACCGCCAGCCACCACCTGAATGAACGATGATTTTTACCTCGCAGTGACCTGTCGAACCCGGAAATGACAAACTATTTATGAACTCGTTCATTCTCATATTATAGGGGTCAATCTCAATATCAATTGGATAATATTATGAATAAAAAAGTATTAATATAAAATATTATATTACTTGATTATTTATAGAAATATAAATTTGAGTTTTGATGGAAGTACATATTTTAGAATACATAAATATATTATTTGTCTGAAACTCAATACTCTCACTATCTCTGTCGGGCTAGATGGTACACCCCTTCTAAAAAACCACTGTACAGTACTAGTTAAGAGCTTCTTCTACCGTTAGAATTTGTAAAACACGGTTCGGAATTTCAGTATCTATAACCTAAACAACCAAATATATATAGGTCAAATTCTCGTCTTGAGAATAAGAGGGAAATTTAAAGATGCAAACGGTATAAAACAAGTTCTTCGAGTGGCCCACACGTACATACTGTACTGTACATGGGCACGCACTCAATATACTGTAAACAAATACATTACGTCATTACGTAGCCTACACCCGCGGGTATTCCCCCAAATACTCTATTTAGTGACACGCGATTGTTGATTTAATGATGTGGTAGATTACATTTTTATTTATTATTACACACACACACACACACATATATAT